GCTGGCCCCGCCGTGGGCCTGCCCGAGGCCGAGCAGGGCTAGGGGAGCGCAGGGGCGTGAGGCAGATGGTTGTGCTGCAGTCCCGTACCACAGAGGGAGGTGGTTACGCACCGGCATCTTTTTACCAAAGAAATCTGCCCGAGTCGGTTAACGGGATCGCAAATGTTCCTTAAAAAGAGGTTCTGTTCCTCATTTTTTTTTTCTTCATTTTATAAAAACAGAAAGTGGAACTGGCTCGAAGGAAGCAAGGCTGGGGAGGCTGCAGGGCACTGGCAATGAGGGCCTGAGCTCTGAGGTAGGCTTGTGAAGCAGGTAGGAAATAGTGTCATGCTTTAAAAATAGCTCTCCTCTACCCTTTACTCAAAAAATAAGTGTTTAGAGCACTTCGGATATGTAATAGGACTATACTGTAGTCAATTCCAATCAAGTGGGTTTTTTTTTTTTTCCTCCCCTGGAGGCATACTGCACCAAACTCATTAATACCCTCAATTGCAGGTAACCCTGGAATACAACACATTCATTTCTTTTAGGTGTTGAGTGTGTTGCTTCGCTTACTCCATTAATCTGCATGCTTGGGAAATGCGGTGTGGTTCTCAAACACAGAAGTACTCTTTTGAAAGGGGGATAATAATAAAATTGTGACTGTTTTAATGCTTTGCAGTTTGTGAATGTTAATTATATCCGATGAGTGTCTTCACTGAAAGTGGTCATCAGAGCCTTACCCATTATGATAGTGGAATTTAAAAAAAAAAAGTAGTTATTCATTTTTATTAATTTATTTAATTAGTTAATAATTAAATGGTATGAGTGGATTCAAGGACAAATGGCTGATAATGAATTTACAGGTGTCACTGTTGTAGGCTGATGCTGTACCCTCCTCCTGAGGGTGACTGAACGGAGCAAAGGATCTTCAGAACTGCAGGGGTGCAGATCTGCTGAGCTGCAGCTCAGAGGTTCCTGGTGATGCTCTATCAGCTCATCACCTGCCTCTCCTGCATGTCTCTTTCAAAAGACAACACAATAATTGGATTTCTTTTTAAAAAGTATGAAGGAGCAGCTCAATAGGAAAGCTCCTTGCAGTTCCTAAAAGATCAAATGCTTTACATGGAAACTTCAAGAATGGGTTTTGGATACTTTGTCTGTCCTTAAAGAATGTAGCTGGAAATAAGGCAAGAATTCTCGTTAAAATTATATCTGTTGAAATTTGCTAATACACCAGACTGGAAATATGGTGTGATGTCACAGTTTCATTTTAAAAAAAAAAAAAAAGAGATTTGGTTTTACAAACCAAATACATTTATACATTTTATTGTATTACCTTTTGTAATGAGGGACCAAACACTTAATCTGGCATTTCTAAATATCCACTAAAGGCTTTATTAACATTGTTAATGTGGATTTAATATTAACACTGTTAATGTGAATTTGAGTGTGCACCAAAGATGCTTTCATGTCCCTGTTTCGCCTCAGACCATGGAAGGGGTAAGTATGGAACAAGAACAGGTTATGGATGCAGGGTAGATTGATTGGGCCTGGATATAGAAAGACAACTGGAGGACTCTCCCACACATTTCCCATATAGACTTTTCTGCTATGTTATTGCTGAGTTTTACTGCTTGAAAAGATCTTGCAAGTGCTTAATAAGCATTTTTGTGTGGTTATTTAAACTCTGAATATGTTTGCAGATGAATGTTTCAGTGGAATTATTCAAGTCTAAATAGAGTCTGTGTGTCTTTTTTTTTTTTTTTTTTTTTTGTTAGGCACCTTAAGTTAGTTGGATCACATTTGTTTACTCAGTGAATTTATAGCAGTGGTGAGTTTCTTCTAGTAGGTTTGCTGAAAGTCAGTAGTCCTCGGGTGTTGTGGTGGGAAGGAAAAGTAAAGAAGTGATTATTGTCGCTGGACTATATTTAAGTGTATGTCCCTTGCAAAGGAGATCAGAAAAGGGTAACCAGTTCTACCAGCTCAGCCCTCAGTTTGGGTACTTATTTATATGTTTCCACCAAGTGGTCTGGGACAATGCTAGGCTGGCTGCTTGGTGAGTGGGGTTAGTTGCTAAGCTATATCAGCATAAAGCTTGTCCTCCTCCCCACCACCTGTTTATATGCCTAAAATGACTGACTTCCTGTTGCTTTGTCATAAGACTTTTTTTTTTTTTTTAATCAGTTCTAGTGAATCAGATCCTTGGTGACCTTTTTAATTATACATAAATATCTTGTCTTAGCAATGCTCTAAAAGGGCTATTAGCATTTTTGTTAGAGAGCACTAAGCCATTGTATTGCAGTGCAGCTACATGCCAGTTTTGCCTGAGCTGTAGGTCAACTTTCAGCAGTAAAAGAAGAAGAAAGGAGAACAAGATTACTGTCCTGCTGTCCTTTCTTCTGCTAGCTGCATTACTACAAGTCCTGCTTTCCAATTTCCGTACGTGTAAACTGGAAGAGAAAACTGGGACCCACATTTTTGGTTTTTATGTTCTGCTTTTATTTGATGAAAAGTCAAGTTTGGTAGTACCTTGTACAACCTTAGTTATCTTTTATTTGCTCTTTGAGGTTGAGCCAGCTCTCTTCAGCAAGGTGAAAGACTGAGATGGCAGCTGAAGGGATACGCTTATCTTGTGCCTCCATATGGAGGCATGTCAGATGCCAGTGTTGAAAGACCCACCCTACCAAGTGTATCTTCCTTCTGCATAGGATTTATAAACCCTCTAATTGGTGTCCTTGGTCTGTGTCATTCTGTGACGCTTAACTTTGTCAGTTCAGCTGCTTTTTGGCACTTCATACTATGAAAGGTAAAGGAAGCATGATCCATGCTATTTCATGCACAAAAGAAATATATATTTGCAGACAAAAACAAAGTGCTTGTAATAATAGATTTCTTGTTTCCTCAGTACAGTTGCTTGAAATTAGTGTTATATTTTAGCTGTGTGAATCAGTTCTGTTAAAACAACTTACTGTTCTAAGTCGGTACTTCGTTTTTGTTTAATGCTCAGTATAAGAAGCACAAGCCTTCTGAGCGGAGCTCATTACGGAGCAGCTTATATAACTTTGAGCAAGATCGCTTTGTGAGTAGTCCAATTGAGCCTGAGCTGCTTGGTGAGTAAGCTGGCAAAAATCTAACCATAGTAATTTGAACTGGACAAGTAGAAACACTGCTTCAGATCCTGCCAAAGCCCAGTTTGATTGCATCTAATTTGTCATCCCCAGTGATGCATGGAGATATGTGATTGGTGACTACTGCTGATGAAACATGACAGATCAATTCTAATCTCTTACTGGTGAAGGCAGTTATTCATGGGGACATGCATCTGTCTCTTACTATTTTATTCACAGCAAGAGTGCTGTAAAGCCATAGCAAATCTGCTGTCTGAATACTACTGAACACTAGTATGTCTAGATTTGTCAGATGCTCTTAGCTAAACCCATTTAAAAACTCCATTTAAAAGTAACTATT